CCTCTCCTCTCATAGAGTTATAGACCAGTTACCTATTCTTGAAATAGAATGTTCAGATTTCTTCTTGCTTTAGGTTCTTAAACATACTGTTCTCTCGGTCGGTAAAGTTTTTGTAGACTTTACATTTCTAACTTCTGTTTAGTAGTCTTTAAGGTTAATAAGGACAGAGACTTTGCTTTTCTCATAGCAATTAATTCATATTAACTCCTTAATTCCTATTAGCATGATGCCATGTACTCTAGATATTAAATTTTATGTGCTGAATGAATGACTAACTGATGAAATGAATGACTTTCTATGAAGTGACCACTGGCACTTCGTATTTTCTACTTGATCATTGCAAGAGTTGTTTCTTGGTTCCACTTGTCTTGTTTTCCCTCACAATCTACCTTTCATACTGCTACTATCATGACCTCTCCAACAATGAATGAACCTGATGTCACCACCCTACACAGAATAATGAGAGGCCTTCCATTAATCAAAGGTTAAAAGTCTTTAGCTTGCTGTACAAAGGCCTCTCATGGTTTGATGCCTCTGTAGCTCCCTTCCGCCTGTTGTTATTCAGCTCCCTTACCTTCAGTAGTATAGAATGAGAAAGCAAAAGAACACGAGAAAAAATAAAATAAAACAAAACATCTAAAAGTATTCAGAGGCCCGTGCTGCTAATTTTTTGGTTGGTATACTGAACTCTGAAGGCTCCCCTTTTTTTTGTCTTGATTTAATTAATTTATAGAGCAATGTACTGAAAAATGCCAAAAAAAAAAAAATAAATAAATAAAAAATGGATGGATTAATATTAGAAGGAGCAGAAAGGTGAACTCGAATCAAGCTGGTTTCAGAGTTCACTTTTTAAATCCCTCTATACCAAATATATAGCTATGATGGATAAAATATACAAATAGAAAACCAAAGAGGCATAACCAGACCCAGGAAAAATAGATATCTCTGTGGACAGGTAATGGAATAGAAATGCAATCATTTGGGCTGAAACCATTAGCTGCTTAGCTGCTTTCCAGAAGCAGGCTTAGGCTCCTATGAGCAGAGAGGACTTAAAATATATCACGAATAAAGCTTAAAGCCAGGATCTAGGCTATGGCTTCCTTAGTTCCTAGAAGGACATTGAAAGGATATGAGGTCATTGTTACTTGGTTAAAATTGAGGTTGTGTTATTAAAGGAGAAAAGGAAAATGGATATTAACTGTGTGACTGGCAATGTTTACTCTTAACAGAAAATAAGTGAGTTGTGGCCCTTGCCTGGTGGCTTGGTTGGTTGGAGTATTTTCCTGTACACCAAAAAAGTGGTGGGTTCCATTCCCGGTCAGGACACAACCTAGATTCTGGGTTTTATCCCATCCAGGAAACTTGGGGTATACATAGCAGACACATGGTCTATGTTTTCGTCTCACACAATGATTCCTCTCCTCTCCTCTCTCTTTCTATTTCTCTCTCCCTCTCTTTCTCCCCTTCTCTCAAATCAATAAGAAAACAAAACAACAGGAAAACACAAAAAAGCATATCCTTGAGTGAAAATAAAAAATAAATAAATGAGTTGTTTCAACCTAATAACCTAAAACAAAGAAAAAGAGAGATTAGGGATAAACCTAAATAAAGTGGAAAAAATAACAGCAAAAATTAGTGAAATAAAAAGCAATGAAATAGTGTCAAAACCAACACGTGTTTTTTTTTTTTTTTTATATATCTGATAAAGTATATATTTCTAGCAAAACTGATCAAGAAAGGCATGAAAAATAATATTAGATAAGGCACAAGTAAATAATATTTAAAGTGATTATACAAACTGATAGAATTGAGGTATTTATTTATTTATTTATTTATTTATTTATTTATTTTAATTTTAAACCAAAACAAAGTAATGCGATTTAATATCTTTGTTAGGACAGAGTCAAAAGCCTTTATACCGAAAGCCAATTGTAGTATGTCTTTTATGACAATACTTTCTTTCAAATGAGCCCAGGACATGAATTACTTGAAGTATAATTTCTGTCAATTAAGTTTTTTTAATCAGAGACAACAGGGTAAATAATTTCACATCAATAAATATAAAAATTTGGATGAAATAGATACTTTAAAATTATAAGTTTCACGGTTTGGCTCAGTGGATAGAGCATCAGCCTGCGAACTGAAAGGTCCCAGGTTCAATTCCGGTCAAGGGCATGTACCTTGGTTGCGGGCACATCCCCAGTAGGGGGTGTGCAGGCGACAGCTGGTCGATGTTTCTCTCTCATCGATGTTTCTAGCTTTCTATCCCTCTCCCTTCCTCTGTGTGGAAAATCAATAAAATATATATATTAAAAAAAAAAAAATTATAAGTTTCAGAAGTGACTCAAGAAGAAATAGATAATTAAAAACAAGTAACTATTATAATAAATTTATAATAAAAAACATACCTTCACCTGAGTCCTCCTCACACTTCAGCTTCATCCCCTGCCTTCTGACTCCAGAAGGGGAATGTCCTGAGACAAGCTGCACGAATCATTTAACTGTTTTCAAAGAATTGGGGAGACAAAGTTACTTAACCCAGTTTTTGAGGCTTGTATGACCCAACAGGAATAGTGTATGAAGAGAAAACTATAGTCCAATCTCACCTGTGGACACAAATGTAAAATAAACTTGATTAGCAAATTTAGTTCAGGGTCTGTGTATTGATTGGCCTATTTATCTACCTACCTATTGATCAAGAGGCATCTATCCATCCTTCCATTCTTCAGTCTATTCAGAGTTTACCCCGAGAATACAAGTGTTGAGGCCAGAAGATATACAACATTTCAGGTGATATTGATATGGTTATACAATAGATTAAAAAACATTTGATAAGGTCAGGATCATGGTAATATTTGGGACGTAAGGAAGGGGTAGTGAAGTCAAAACACAATCCATAGTAGACTTCAGTTATATCCACATTAGTTCATTACTTTTTAGTAAAATAAGATTGTGTGCAGATTACGCTAAGTTGTTTGTGTACATGTATATCACGATATCCTTTATTCTCTATGTAATTTAATGGGCGCTGGTAATATCGCATAATAAATACCAAACAAAAAAAAAAAAAAAGGTCGAGGCAAACATAGGACTAAGCAAAGGCCCTTTATTGAGGATCAAGCCTGCAACCCAGGCATGTACCCTGACCAGGAATCTGACTGTGACCTGGTTCATGTGTGGAATTGGTTCAACCACTGAGCCACACTGGCCGGGCTATCGTTTGAGTCTTAAATTCATCATTTCTTCCTTTGTGAACAGGCTGTCCTTGTATAAATGCACTAGTGAGCTCTTGAGGACCTAGACTGTTTATTTTTATGTTTCCAATTTCCTGGCCCAAAGTAGATGCTCAATAAATATTTGTTAAATTACTGGGCAAATTTACAAATGAATTAATGAGCAATCTTTTGTAAAAAGAGATTCATTGAGATAAAATTTATATTTCATAAAAATCTATCCTTTGAAAATGTAAAATTTAGTGATTCTTAGTATATTTGGAGTTGTGCGGATTTAAGCACAATATAATTTTACTAGAGGTCTGGTGCATGAAAATTCATGCACGGAGGAGGGGTCCCTCAGCCCAGCCTGCCCCCTCTCACAGTCCAGGAACCCTCAGGGGCGGGAGGCAACCGGAGATCAGAGTAGGTGACACCCCCATCACACCTCGGCCAACCCTGGTTACCTGAGCCTAAAGCGGCCCTGGGTGGCTCGGCAGCTGCCATCCAAGGCTTGCTTGTGCCTCAGGCTGGCCCTGGGTGCTGGGGGGGCTGAGGGGACTGGGCCCCACCATCTTATGGCTGTGGGTGCTATCATCTTTGAGGGCATAGCAGTCAATTAGCATATTCCCTCCTTATTAAATAGGATAACTTTTTATCATCTCAAAAACTTAGTACTCATTTGCTATTCTTAACCATTTCATTCCTGTCCCACCTCTAGACAATCATTCATCTTATTTGCTGTTCTTATAGATTTGCCTATTCTGGACATTTTATGTAAATGGAATCATTCAATTTGTGATTATAAGGACCTTTTTTTTAATCATAATATTTTCAAGGTCATCCACATTGAGAGTGTATCAGTACTTGATTTGTTTTTATTACTGAATAATATTTTATTGGGTGGATATATCACATTTTGTTTATCCATTTATCAATTGAAGGACATTTGAGTTTTTTCCACTTCTTGGCTATTATGAATAATACTGCTGTGAATATTTATGTACAAGTTTTTGTGTGCACATTTGTTTTTATTTCTCTTGGGTAGATAGATACTCAGGAGTGGAATTGTGGTCCATATGGAACTACCAGACTATTTTCCAAAGAAATGGTACCATTTACATTCCCACCAGCATTACATGAGGGTTTCAATTTCTATGCATACTCAACAGCATATGTTTACTGCCTGTTCTTTTTATTAAAGCCATCCCAGTGGATATGAAATGGTATCTCACTGAGATTTTTATTTACATTTTTCTAATGACCAGCAATATTGAACATCTTTTAATGTGGGAATTGGCCATTCTTTAAGAGTAGAATTTTCTTATTATTGAGTTGTAACATCTATTCTGGATATTATCCCTTATTAGATTATGATTGACAATATTTTCTCTCAGTCTATGTTTTTACTTTCTTGATACTGTATTTAAAGTGCATGCATGTTTAATATTGATGAAATCCAATTAAAAATTATTTTTGCTTTTGGGATTATATCTAAGAAATCATTGACTAACTAAAGATCATAAAGATGTGCATCTATATTTTCTTCTGCAAGTTTTTTAGTTTTAGCTCTAACATATAGGGCTGTAGTCCATTCTGAGTTGACTTTTTGCAAGGTGAGAGGTAGAAGTCCAAATTCATTTTTTTGTATGTGGATAATCAGTTGTCCCAGTACCATTTTCTAAAAGACTGTTCTTTCCTGAATGAGCAATCTTGAATGTTTTTATAATCATATGTCTTTTTGTATTGATATTCTTTTAATTTATATTCTTATGTTTTAATTTTCAGGTTGCTTACCAAGTGTGCCACAAGTGAAAAAGATTTCCACATCTTATGAAGAAAGACGGAAACAAGCTACTGCTATTGTTTTACTAGGAGTCATAGGAGCAGAGTTTGGTGCTGAAATTGAACCTCCTAAACTGTTGACCAGACCTCGAAGCTCTAGTCAGATTCCTGAGGGATTTGGTTTGACTAGTGGCGGATCCAACTACTCACTGGCCAGACATACTTGTAAGTTTTGAAATTCCTAATGCTGATGTATCACTTCTCATTACATATTATTTGTTAACAAAATCTAAGAATATTGACTATATCCCCAGTTTCAACTCACATAGAAGGCTCAGATGAAGTTAGGAAGCTGGACAATCTGTTTGGCACATTACCCTCTGTCATAGTTTCCCAAACTTCTTTTTAAAAGTTCAAATGTAGTTTTTAAGTGCTTTTCTTAATACATTTCTGACGTTTGAGTTTTCACAACTTGGTAAAAAAATTTAGCCAAAAATTTATGAAAGCTGGCTTTAAGTTAAAACTTTTAACTTAGACACAATTTAAAACTTATAAATTGGGAGAAAAATCAAGATGGTGGCATAGGGTAGACACCCGTATGCAGCCTACCACAACAAATTTGAATTTAGAACTGGAAAACAGGGGAGGCATTACCCTGAAGCGCCAGACGGCTAGCTGAGAGGAGGCTCTGCCTTCTGGGAAAGAGAGAGAAGGCACACTGAACCTCAGGAACTCTGAAGGTACGGAGAACTGTGTGCGCCAAAAGGCACTGGCTTACTCCTGGCGTGGGGAAAGGAAGGGCCTGACCGAGATTGCTGCTGGCTTACTCCCGGCGTGCAGAGAGGGCGGGCTGGGCTGAGTTTGCTACTGGCTTGGACAGCTAAAGCTTGGCTGGCTTTCTTGTTCGAGAGGAAAATAGAATAGCCTATTGCACTGATAGATGGCCCCAGACAGGAAGAGGCCAGACTGTGAGGCAGTGGGCAGAGATCTCTCGGAGGTGTGTGAAGACAGACGCCATTACTGCGGGACTTGGGGAGGAGCCGAAGGGAAAACAAAGTTTGTCTGCATCAACCCGAGACTCTGCCCCATCTGTGGCTGAGCACAGAAGCTCTCTCAGAGGCTGGCTTTCTCTAAGGAGGGACTGGCCAGAATCCAAATCTTGTCTGCACTTTTACCAAAGAGGCGCGCGCCTGCAACCATTCTTCCGAAACTCTCTAAGAACAGGACTTTTCTAAGGCGAGACTGACATGGAACCAAAGATTGTCTGTGCCATCCCAAGACCCTGCCCTATCCAAGTGGAGTACAGAAGCCCTCCTAGCTGAGACACTGCTGATTCTCACAGCCAATTGGCTTGGAGATCAATGCATCCCAGTGATACCAACAATAAGCAAGGCTTAACAACAAGACTGCACACACAGCCCACAAAGGGCTACACCAAGACTGTCCACCACAGGTAACTGGGAAAGCTGTGCTACTGGGCTCTACCAGAACACCTAGCACACAAAGCTATTCCATCAAATCAGGGAAACAACTAAAATGCAAACAAGAGGAAGGACACAAAGGAAGGAGATAGAGGAAAAGAAAAGATTGGACATTGAGTTCAAAACTACAGTTATAAGGTTATTCAACAATATCCTAAAAAAGGCCGATAAAATAAATGAGACCTATGAGGATATGAAAAAGGAGCAAATAGAAATAATAAGGGATCAACTAGAAATGAAGAAAACATTGTCTGAAATAAAAAATATTGTACAAAATCCTAAAAACAGACTGGAAGATCACAAGAATCAGGACAAAGATTTAGAACACAAAGAGCCAGAGGAGACTCCTTTGCAGAAGCGAGAAGGTAAGAGAATCCAGAAAGTTGAAGATAGTGTAAGAAACCTCTGGGACAATTTCAAACGAACCAACATCAGAATTATGGGGATTCCAGAAGAAGAGAGAGAGCAAGATACCGAAAGAATACTGGAAGAAATAGTGACAGAAAACTTCCCCCACCTGGGGAAAGAAATAGATTTACAAGTCCAGGAAGCCAGCAGAACCCCAAACAAAAGGAATCCAAGGAGGACCACACCAAGACACATCATAATTAAAATTCCAAGAGCAAAAGACAAAGAGAGAATATTAAAAGCAGCAAGAGAAAAGCAGGTAGTTACTTATAAAGGAGCACCCATACGATTGTCAGCTGATTTCTCAACAGAAACCATGCAGGCCAGACGGGAATGGCAAGAAATATTCAAGGTGATGAATAGCAAGAACCTACAGCCAAAAATAATCTACCCAGCAAAGCTATCACTCAGAATCGAAGGACAGATAAAGAGCTTCACTAATAAAAAAAAGTTAAAAGAGTTCATCACCTCCAAACCAGAATTATATGAATTGCTGAAGGGGGTTATTTAGGAAGAGGAAGAAGATAAAGATAAAAATTATGAACAACAAATATGTAACTATCAACAAGTGAATCTAAAAACCAAGGGAATTAAAAAATCTGATGAACAATATTAACTGGTGAATATAATAGAATCAGAGGTATGGAAGGGGAGTGGACTGACGATTCTTGGGGAAAAGGGGAGCGGGGGGTGTGGGAAGAGACTGTACAAAAACTGTGCACCTATGGATGAGGACAATGGGGGATGGGGAAAGGACAGAGGGTGGGGTGGGAACCTGGTGGAGGGGAGCAATTGAGGGGTGGGAAGAGGAACACATTTGTAATAATCTGAACAATAAAGATTTATTAAAAAACAACAACAACAACAACAACAAAAGCTTTCAACTTATAAAATCATTTCTCAGAAACTACCTGACATAACCTGAACGTAATTTGAAAAGTTAGGGGTGGAGGTGGAACACAAATTATTTTCATTTAAAAATAATATTTTAAGGTGCATGAATGAGGAATTGGGAATTTCCTCTAATTTAAATAATATTCCAATACCAGTTTTAAAATGGTGAAATAATTACAATCAGAGCTCAAAGGCTTGTGCCATATTGCTCTAGTTCTGTAGTTGGTATGTTAATAACAGGTAAGGGTATTTTATAATGATGTCTGTTGTTACCTTAATGTTGAAACTTCTTTACCTAGGTCAAAATATTCCTGCCATATTGCAAAATCATTACCAATGTTGTTATGTTAAGGACCATATATACTACTGAATACATCACAAATTTTTTTTATAGAACAAGTTGCAATATGTTCTTTTGGTGTGCTTTTTGTTTTTTTTAACCTTTAACAAAGGAAAAAGATATATGTTAATTTGGGAATTACAGTGGCTGAAAACTTCATTGAATCATTATCTTGTACTTTCGCTGTGAAATCAAGGGGCTGTATTGGAGGCTTTTATTACTGAAACCCTATTATAACTTAGCTGTTGTGTCTCTCCCCCTACCCCCCACCCTTTTTTTTTTTTTTTTTGGTTCAGAACGCAGCAAATATTTATTAGTGTTTGTAATCTTTTCATCTCTACTTGATATTGAAAATCAGAAAGCAATAATAACAAGACCACCACCATCAATAATAAAGCTACTAATTGTTTTAAGCACAATTTTAAGCTTTTTATATGCATTAACTCAGTCGTCATAGTTACCTTTTCTTTTTAAAAAAATATCAATTTCAGAGAGGAAGATATATTAATATATATATATATATATACACACATATATGTGTGTGTGTATGTGTGTGTGTGTGTGTGTATATATATATATATATATATATATATATATATATATATATATAATATCAATGATGAGAGATAATCATTGATTGGCTGCCTTCTTCACGCCCCCCCAATGGGGATTGAGCCCACAACCTGAGCATGTACCCTGACCAGGAATCCAACTGATTCATCAGTTGATGCTCAACCACCAAGTCACACCGAATGGGCCATAGTCCATAGGGTGAAAGTGGTATCTGCATTTAACACATTAGGCTAGGTGGGGGCACAGAAGTGTTTAGTCAGCCTGGCTGAGTTCATGTCTCTAGGAAATGGCCTTTGAGCCTCAGCACCATCTGTTGGTTCCAGGGCTCATGCTTTTGACCAGTATGTAAAATGCTGCTGTTCAGTTGCTGCTAGTTAGTTGAAAGGGCTTAATGACTAAACTGTGCTATCACTTTATAACTTGAAAAGTACTTTTTTTTTTTTGGGGGGGGGGAGTATGCCTTCAAATTCCATCCCATTACCTTACTTTTTCATCAAAGATCTTAGGTTCCTTGGCATTAAATTAATTATCAGCTTAAACCTTGCTCTTCGTTAGAAACAGTTAGCTATCTAAACATGCTGTGTCTAACATAGGCTCTTTTCAATAAGTTGTGTGTTAATTAACCAGTTACAATATTAACCTGCTTGAAGTTGCCGTATGTATTGCCATGTTATTTGTTTATGTGGCATTTACTAGTAGGATGTATTGGTACCACTACAAATTTAGCCTTTATGGCATCTCCTTGAATGAGATAATAATTATTATCCTCATTTTGAGATAAGGCCATTAAGATACAATATTTGATGAACTTTAATTGCTAATGTAGTTAGAGGTATAGAGGTGAAGTCTAAACTTCCTCATAAAGCCATTCTGTGAAAACACTTTATGTCCCAATTATCTACATTGGTGGGAGGAAGAGTGATACTGATATTTAATTCAAAAGTAATTTTTAGCCTCACTCTCCCTCTCTTTTTAAAGTTAATACAAACATTTTGAAAATAAAAAAAAAACACCTTTGAAAAGGCAAATTTAGTTTAGTTTTATAATACATTTTATACTTAGATTTGAATATATATATGAATCTTTTGTGGGTGTTACACTTCACATTAAACATCAAAATCACATACTGAAGACAAAGGTGAAGGACTCTGTGGTCAAGGGGCCTGCACTAGACCACTCTGTCTGTACCCTTGCTAAGTGAAGTGTCCCTCTGGGTCACAGTTTCCTCTTACATAAAATAAAATACTGGAACTATTCTCTTCTTATAGCCCCTTTTGTCCAATTAGTCTCTGCTTCTGAAGAAAAATAGAAAGCATCTCAGGAAATTCACCTTCTTCGTAACCTTCCCATTTTCTTCTCCACATACCAATGGATGCTTCTCATCAGCCCAACTTCAGTCGAGATTTTTCTTTTGTATTTGGATCCGCAAAATAAAGCCTTTTTAGACTATTTTGGGGTATTATTTGTAATATTACCTTGTAGGACTTGGTTCTTCCATTTGGTCTCTTCTGCTCAGTTTATAATTGTGG